TTTAATATGATTAATAGTAGGTTTATCTTCTTTCATTTTTAGCTCATCACATCACATTGCTCTCAAGTATTCCTATCATTTCCGTTGTTCTAATTTCCTAAAATTTACCAGGTCAATAACATTGGTTGTAAAGGCCCCAACATCACTGACTCCTTTTGCAGCGTATAATTTGTCAACGAAAGAAGAAAATAGGTTCAAATAGATTAGCTTACTTAGTAGAAGCGAAGAAGAAGCGGCTAACCACATTGTACGACTACATCCCGAGATTTTCTGGTGCCTGCTTTTTTTGTTTTTTTCATCTACGAGTTGAACAAAATCGCTTTAGCAGATGAATAGAGAACAATAAATGCGTTGTCTAAGTTGAGATGATGCGAATTGAAGGTGAGAACGTAGCTGTAGTTCCGAAGATGTACTCACTTTGGGTTCTGGAACGATTGCCGATGCGATATCAACAACGTTGAGAACATCGTCACAAAGTAGATTTTCATCGCTTTGATTTTTGAGGTCTCCGTCCGAAGCTTTAAAGGTGAATCATATAAACTCCGTAAATCATTCCCAATGTATGAAATACCTCTTGTGCCCTAGATAGAGGGGTTGCACTTACTTGAAAACTGTGGAGTTAAGATTGTGATGTTCAAATAAAAGGTAGCACTTAGGAAAAGATATTAGATGTGAAAGCAGTTGACTTGAAAATGCGATGGGAGGTCTATAACCATATTACCTAAACCCTAAACGTTTTATTGGTTACTACTTTTATTGGAAATGAGCATTCAACCATTTACATCTGCTGTTTCGTGCGAGACGACCGCTCACTTTTTCACAAATGTACACACAACTCAATTGTACGACTAATTTGCGAGCTTATAAGACCATAGGGTTGAATAAAGTTCGGATCATAGCAGCCCTCGAAAGCCGGCGAAAACCTGAATCTATAGGCTCAAATATTCTTATCATTGTTAAGAATGAGTGACATCTGCTGTGTCATCTGCTTACGAATGCTCTGAATAGCGGACGGTTTGATAAACAGCAAACCAGTGGAACTGCTAATGACCCTCATTCATTTCCGCTAGACACATCAGTGCTTCACCTATGCGGTGATGTTTCTCTTTCAATACTCTGATGGTTTCAAGATTGTTGTTAAGATAATCTTTGATTCAACCTTTGATATGTAATAACTAGGTTTGAAGTTGTTGCACGAGAAAGATATCTGATTTGAACCACGCTGCTTTCCAGCATTTTGTTAGAATTTTAAATGACTCAATTTGTTTCGAGAGTAAAAAAAAAGGCGTAACTCCAGAATCATATTACATTACATTCGACTACCTTCGATCTTATAGTCACGAACAATTTCGCAGCCTATGCGATATCTCACCTTCAAAAGAAAAGCATTGTAGACGACCAGTGAAGGATCTCGTGCTCGGTTGCCCTAGGGGGTGGCCAAAATGAAGTTCAGAACTATCGTCCCATATGCTTACTGAGCGTGCTCTACAAATTCTTCACGAACTGTGTAATGCTAAGAACTTTAGACGAAGCGTAGCCAAATGGGAAAGAAGGACTCCGACATGAATTCTGATGCGTGAACCACACTCAAACTGTACATAATGTAATAGATATCTCGAAGGATTTTTACCACGCCGCTTCGTTGGAATAATAGAGCAGCTGAACCACTTAAAGGATTGTGAACTACTCAAAGAGCACTTATAAGATGTCTTTTACAATACAATCGTACACGCAGGATCCGATTGCGTTGTTCATTCAACATCTTCGAAAGTTCCCCATAACGATTATCGAAAACAAGCATTGTAAACGAAACTTAGACTGGCCTATCATGATGAGAAAGGATGATAGAAAATGGGCGAAGAAAACATGGACTGTGAAGTGGACTCCAACTCGATGCAATCGTCCTTCGTTATGATCACGTACGATATGGTCGACGTCTTCGTGGCTTAGTCAACCAGCTGCACTCGAGATTGAAAGGATTTACGAATGCCACGAAGTGGGGCTCGTGTGAGTCCCATGCTTCAAGAAAGCCAACGCCATCGGAGTTCAAAGAAACGAATGGAAAATGCACTAGGGCTCGCACCACTGATGAGAGCATTAATGACCTTTAACACCAATTTTTTTGCGTAGCTCAGTGTTCAAAGAGATCTTTGGTTAAATCGTATGCTCTGCTGCTACTCCTGCCATGCATTTAGTGTTTAACATTTTGGTGAAGGTGTTTGGCGGTTACTGAGTCTAGATGTGTAAGATTTTCTCCAAGTGACTAGTAGATGCATTGCTTACTCGAGTTTTGGTCACAAGTTTAAAGTTTCTGCATCCCATCACTGCAGAATTCCATTGTTTTAGAGTCTTCGGATCTACTGAACGTACTTTTAACAGGTGTTTGGCTATTGAAGGCTTCTACCACAGTTAGGTGTCAAGGTGTTTGAAAAGTGGTAGTCAGTTGGCGAGATGTCTGGTGAGTATGTGTAATGAAGGAAAGTTGTGCATCTCAATACCAGCAACATTTATAAATGTTCGTTATGCAATATGTTTGGTCGTTGTTATACTACAGAAAAGCTGCTTTTCGATTTATCAGTGGGGGTCTCAAACTAAGCTGTTTTTCTGCATTCTGTTTGCTTCTTGGTAATAATGCTCCACCTTTAACATTCCTTTGAGGTAAAATAGTTTTCGGAGGCCTTACAGTGTTCCATGGTGGTCAAAACTGTGCACAGTGCCATTTACTCGTCCCAGGATTCACTTCGACTTCCATATCACAGCGCTATAAAGAAATGGATCGCTTTAACAGAGTTAAATAGGAACATAACAAATGGTGCTTAGATAATTGCAAAACTCTGCACCGCAGGTGTATGCGGTGGGGAACGAACGCACTACTACCCATTCCGGAAGATGACGCCTTAACCACCACACCATGCGTGTTCTCCATTTTGCCCTTCTATCAGCTAGTTGCAATCCCGCGTTTTGCAAATGTCTCATCATCCATCATTGTGGTTAAAAGTAGTTCCTTTTAAACACCAACCGTTTTATTCTTTGTGAGTACTCCAGTTAATTGGTGGGGAAAGCCGCACATATTAGTAGTAATACATGGGCGAGGAATGTGCCTGGGTCAGGTCATAGAATGAGCCTGAGGTATGCCATGAGGTCACGCTTGATCACAAGACGCTCCTCCTTGCAGTTCTTTTTCGGATTTTTGAAATGAATCCAAAATGTTTTAAGGGTTTTACACGCTGATGTTCTGGGTTTCCGTGCTAGGAAAGTGACTTTTAGTTGAAAATCTTCTCCGTTATGTTTCTGTGTCCTAAGCGCGCCTACATGAGTATTTGGTTTCAATTTAGGTTTACCGACTAAGTGCTCTTTTAAGCGCGCGTAGAGTGGTCTACCCGTTTCGCTAATGTATTCTCCACAAATGTTTCACAAGAGACTAAGTAGATCGCACCCGAACTCATGCAATCACCAACTCTGCTATTAGCGCATATTTTTGCAATTTTTCGTTGTACACAGACAGACGGTCAGATAGCCGGTTACGAACTAGCTGGCGTCTTAGCCTGAAATCCGTCCCGTTCATAAGTTATCTATTGTTTTTCCGGCTTTTCCAGTTTTTCACACGTATGAAACGTTGTCCAAAACGCAAACCATGACCATCATTGAACTTATCATCATCTTCATGCTGTGCTTCGGTCAAAGCATTTACCGTCGCACCATTGGAATCGAGGCATTATGCTCAGCATTGTGTAATCTTTCACCACTGGTAGTAACTTATTACGCGCCGTTGCGTAGGATTCCAATTGGGTAACGAATTTTAGATTTTTTATGAGTGGCTTAGTTTCTATTTTTCACCAAAACTATTTGGAATCCACTTATCTTCGATTATTTTAATCTACTGATAGATCATTCGCTGCCAACTTTTGTGGTAAATGTCCGGTTTGCCGTTTGCTCATTTCAGCTAACCTCTCACAGTTCTGATTAACACTTTTTTTGTTGAGATTTCACTTTTGCATTTAAGCGTGTCGAAACAAAATCTTCATTCAGTGACAAAACTGTCCTTACACGCAGCGATAATATCTCAAGCAACAACTTCGGGCATATTATGTTTTGTGCTTTTATGTAAATTTCCACCTAAAAATTATATGTGAACGTCGCATTGGTTAATGAAAAATCGATCTACGTACAATTGATGATGAAGTGCCCGAATAACCTAATGAATATGCGGGCAATGTCGAGTGTTTTACGGTCGCTGACATAGATAAGAAAGGTTAGAGCAGTCGGCGTTGACCAGTTCCTGATGCAACCTGCGGATTTCATCGTTTGAGATGATTGAGTGCATATCTGGACTATGCAATGGCTTCCGGTAGCTTACCTTGTGCCAAGTCAGTAGTGCTAACCTCCTGGACAAGTCTGGTACCAGTTTGCTGACACCGAAATGATGGAAAAATGGATTATCCCGAATTATCGATCGATCTAATGTGTATTGTAGGACACCTCTAACTATTGCGCTACACGATCCTGAAGATAATACGAGCAATAATAAAATAGAAATCGTGCGAAACAGTGTTTCAACTTCTCATTTTCTTGCCTTAATCTGTGAATAAAAAATGCAAGCATATGGAGTAGATGTCATTCACCACACTACTGAGAAAGCGAATGGTCAGTCGGTTTAAGTAAACGTCGATACCAAACGTTTTGGTGTTCAGTGGGGATTGAAGAATATGACAATACTACCTAGCATTATCGTCTAGTGGTGGCTCGTAGAAAAATGTCCTGATTTGTAGTAGAATAGTTAGAACACCTTTCTTTAAACAGAACTATTCATCTCGTTCTGATTCCTCTTCGAAATTTTTTAACATAACCAAGAAGTTACTAGGTTTTTCACGTGATTAAATCCACTATTTCAGTTAGTGAAGCGTATAAGGAAGGTCTCAGCTCTCTTTCCTGTTGAAAAACTATTTCAAGAACAAAGAATTCTTCAGTCATGACGTATTGCTGATGCTTAGTTCGATGGTATGTTTCAGATGAAATTGACCCCACGGCGACATGAGTTGCTTTCGGTGTATCTGCTTGGCTTCGGCACGTTGTTCATGTATCTCGGTTACCACACACAGTCATTCATCTGCGAATCTATAATACATTCAGTGCATCTAGAAGATCCGCAAAGAATTTCTACATACGCTGGATATTACGGGTAAACTTCTACATAAAACGTGAATCCAGAAAGTAAAAATGTAATAGAAATAATACCACAGATTATTAGATATGTGCAAAACTCGGTACCTCAGCTGGGCTTGAAATCCGCGATCACTCCAATCCGATGCTCACGTACCATCCACCACACCAACCGATGAATTTGCCTGCCTTTCTCACAGTCACGTTTTTACTCCATCGGTGCTTTAAGCAATCACACAAAACTTCTATACTTCAAAGTTTCGAAAATCAGGTGGGCTGTAAACGTGATGCGTATGGACGACGAGTGACGGACAAAAGCTATTACGGAAAGCATTCCCCGTGATGTTAGGCGCACATCAAGAAAACCGCCAACCCAATGGTCAGATGATTTTGTTCGTATTTTTGTTGAGCAAACGCGAGGTGTTATTATTCTTTGTTCACGATTAAGCTGACGTTTCGGCGAATTTCGCCTTCTTCAGAGCCTGGAAAGGTCAAGTTGATAGCAACTCACTCGGCCAGACGCCTCCATAACCAAACAAAGAAACTCCAAACCAAGATTTCAATCACTTTGAACACAGCTTTGCACACTCACCGCTTTCTATGAGGTCTCCACTAAGTATGTCACGTAGAGACCAACCCCACAGAAATCACGTGGAAGTATAATGTGCCCCTCACATCAGAAAAGCAGTTTTATATACTGCCCTATATCACGCGTGATAATTAGGCATTCTTCCCTGCGGTTCATTTTCGGATTTCTGGAATTAATCCAGAGTGCCTCGAGAGTTTTTCGCGCCCGTGTTCTTGATTCGCGTGCGAGGATCGTGACACATACTTCGAAGTCGTCCCCGTTATGTCTCTGGGTCCTATGCGTGCCTAGTGGGGTATTTGGTCTATTTTTGCCGGCTAGGTGTTCTTTCATGCGGACACAGAGGGGTCTACCCGTTTCGCCAATGTATTCGTCACCACACGTCTTACAGGAGATCAGATAAACTATACCCGAGCTCATGTAATCACCGTCTCTACCACTGGAACAAATCATGCAATTTTGAGTTGCACATAGACGGTCATATAGGCGGTTACGAACTAGCTGGCGCTTAAGATTACTCGGTGGTATTTCAACTACGCTCACCGAATTCTCTAAGCCCGCCCTTCTTAAGCAGCGTTTTATAGCTGTACTTATATCATTTGAGATGAAGGGTAGGATAAACGGGACCCTTCTATCGCTAGAGTTGTCGTTTGGAGGCCTACGATTTCCTCTACACCTATTCTGAGCTACAGTTTCGTAGCCATTAGAAACGGCTATTTGCCGTGCCAAGTTGCGGGACTCCTCTCTCTGCTCTCTTCCCGTGCACACGTTGGTTGCTGTTCGAAACATGTTTCTTATAAGCGCCCTTTTCGTGTGAGAGGGGTGAGAGGAGAGGTAATGAACCAAGATATTTTTACTACTTGGCTTTCGGTACCACTTTGTAATGTAGCCATTTTCTGATAGATGAATTTGTACGTTCAAAAATGGAAGCCATTTTTCTTTCGGCTTTTTTCGGGTGAACTTGATATACTCTGACTGTGCGTTTAACAATTCAGAGTTTTCACGAAAACCCCAAAAGAATGATATGATACTCAGCGAGTCCCTTGAGTCAGCCTACGCGGCCCACGTGGCTGCTTTTGCGCGCGACAGGGAGAGAGGGAAGATTTACCGGCTCCCTGTTGAGTCACTCGACGATCAACATGACGACAGGCAACAGGTGACAGGTAGCCTGAAACTCCCAAAAAGTGTTTACATTGAAAACTTTACAGAGCAGTTACATTAAAATGCAATGCAAAAACAACTGTTTGAAGCAAATACTTTCAGTCAGGCTGTTCACTACACAGCATTTGCTGTCTCTAGTCTTTTCACCGCTTCGCTTCACCATTACCTCACCTCAAAGTGGATTCTAGTCTTTTCCACCATTCTTTTCGCCGTATATCATCTGGGGTTTTTCTATATCAACTCCTACTATTTTTATGGTTCACAAGTCGTGATGGGAATTGCATACTCATGTGAGTAATAGTTTTGTTAATGTGAAAGAACTTTTAATTTCTTCCTTTAACAGTTCCTTGAGTTTTATCTATTATAGAGCAGTTTTTCTGTTTGCTAGTTATTTGAAAACATAAGTAGAATGATATGAGAGAGGTAATCTTCAGTGTATAACAATGGGGAAGGCGCTTATCTGGCTGAACACTCATCAAGAAGAACTGTGGAGTCGAACACTGGAATTGAAACCGCTGTAGGACATACAAGGTCATTCGAGCTCAGCAAGTTACAGAACATTGTGATATATGCTGTCATAACACAAACTTTACGATTATCACTTCAAAATGCTGTACTTGTGTTTCAGCATGCTAGTGGGAGGCCTTGCATTACTGCTGATTTTCAATATCTGTCCCGATGAACGGTCTGAGAAGGTGTCTAATTTCCGCTCCTTTTCCGACAGTCAGATCAAGGTGGGATGCGAAACCTTTGAGATGTCATAGTAAAGTATCCAATGCATGAAAATACAATCGAAAAAAAATAGAAAAATCTCTTTAAGAATGCTGCACCTCACTTTTATTTAGGATAAACAGATAGACCCCAAAATTTGTAACAGTCTAGTCTAATTTATCAAAACCTGTTTACTTACTTGTATACTTGGATGGCCCGTCCTCACTGGTTGTGCGTCCCCGGCATAGTCTCCATTTTTCCGGAGAATTGCTAGTTTAGCCGCTGTGGCTCCCTGGCATCCCGATGCCAGCCTGGCCAAAGTCTGCCCCAGGTCTTCACCATCATAGGCAGTCGCAGCCCTTGTGGATCAGAAGATTTGCCGCCATGTGACTAGTTTGATACCAGGACGGTAGTTGTTCCTGGTATTGGCTTACTCTTGGCTGGGCTCACTGATGGTAATGTCGGACTCGTTCTCAGTTTGGGAGGCCTTGCTGCAGTGACGGAACCCCTCGCCGTAAATCGCAGCCCGACACACAGGAACGCCTCCTAGCCACGGTGAGGCGTAAACCGTTGGGAGGATTAAAGTCTATCATCTTGTATAATCCGGCAATTCGTGTTCACCGGTTATGCAGTTCTCAGTGTGATTCGTTTCCATTTGGTACCTTCTTTGTCGTCGTTCGTTGAAACGAGCACCTTAGCCAATAGGGATTTGGCGGTCAGCAACCACCGATGATTTTTATTCCAAGATTTACATCTATGTTTTGCATATGAATCCCACTGCAAGTATTTTTGAGCTTCAGAGGCGCGAAAGGTGGTGCGCAGACATAGATAAGGTGTGGTTGTTAGTCCCCGTGTCAGTTTCACAGCTTAGTGTTAGGAGAATTACGAATTAAAAAATATAAGTGCACTAAAATAACCCAACAGTTCAGTGATAGGAAGAAGTCGACATAAAACCAGTCGAGAGAAAGGCGGAACGAAAGACCCGTATGGTGGTGAACACGCCAGCACCCGAAAAGGGTAATTGCGTATTCGATGCTCACCGCAGACACCTGTGGTCCGGAGTTTCCCAAATGTCTTAGCATCATTGTAGCGAGTGACAGTTCATTTACAAGGTCTGGAGACGAGTTATTAAGTTGGGGATAGTTTCCGAATGTAGCTACGCCATTATGTTATCATGCCGGTTGCTGTTTCACGAGTCCTATACAGCTTGGGTAAAACATTTGTAATGATTCATTCCATGTCACAAAATTGTGAGGACTCTATATATTTCTCTTGTGAGTTCCCTTCTATGTGTTTTCCTCTTGTGCCGTTATTGTTCCTAATGCATAGTTCACGTACTATAGTCGAAAAGGTCGCCAAAATATTCTCATAATAATCTGAGTTTTACAACCACAACGTTGGTGGGATATTTGCAAAACTCTGGACCGCAGATGTCTATGGTGGGGAACGAACGCGCCATTGTCCTTTCCGGGGAGTAACGCGTTCACCACCACACCATGCAGGCCCTTCGTTTCGCGTGTCTCTCAGCTAGTTCTATCCATCTTTTTGCCATCAGCTACCTTTTTTCGTTCATTGTGATTTCAACTACAGCCGCAGCTTAACTGGGTTCTATGCCGATTTGGGCGCCCCAGATCAATCCCGCTGACGGGTGATTGCTGTACAAAGACCGATAGAAATAGCTGAGAGACAGTCGAAACAAAGGACCCGCATGGTGTGGTGGTGAACGCATTACTCTCCGGAAAGGACAATAGCGCATTCGTTCGCCACCATAGACACCTGCGGTCCATAGTTTTCCAAATATCTCAGCAACGTTGTGGTTGTATTTCGCTTAGTACCTTGCCGTGAAAATTGTAGTAGGCAGAAAATAAAAGGTAAAATCTGCGTTTTCCCTTCTATGCAGGACAGTAGTTCTCCGCCTCGAGTTTACCATCGTAGTCGACGACGCTTTTCCCTGTCAAGAAGCAGTGCTTCGGGAGAACAAAATGTATTGAGAAGTGCCCTACAAAACGGTTTTCCTTTCTATTTCGATTTTTTGTCCTGAACTTCTCCACCATGCATTTCTCCCTAGTGTCTTTTTCTGTTTTGGTATTGACGTCTTCTACGGAATACTTTCCTTTTCATAATGAATTTTTCATTCGGTTTCACTTTTTCGAAAAGACCATAAGCTGCGTATAGTTTGAAGTTTCCGGCTAACCTGGCTTATATTTAGTAAGATTTAATGAGATTTAGTCTCTCCAGGGATAACAAGGAAACACCTAGCTCATTCAGTAACTAAGGCTACGAATTGGCTTGGCAGTAAAACGTCGCGATGACCATGACATTTAAAAATATAGTATAGAGTTCCATAGAAACAACCAAACAGTGAACATGTTTCCGGAAATACATGACAACAGTCGCAACAGTCAGAGAATGGTCATTTCAGGCAATTTACGGCACGTTCTTTGGTCTCTCTGTAATGTCAGTGCTGATATTCGCCTTGCTTCCGACAAGGCAATACGATAGTATTGCTAGTAATTCACCACGGGTCATTCCGAACTTTAGAAATCACTTCGGTTAGTTACATAGGAATGAATTGAAACGTATTTTAACTTTCACGAAAGCTATTCTCAATGACTTTTGCAAATATTCACCACTACCGGGAAGTCTAGCTGAAAGAAGATATCGAGCCAAAAATAAACGGTAATTTAAAAAAGAGATGGAGCATTTCAAAATGAGACACGTGGTTCAATGGAGTTTTCTCAAAGCATGTATAAAAAGAAGCAGTTGTCTCTGTCAAGTGTAATTCTATCAATTTAGAATAATTTAAAAGCGAGCACTCCCTATTCGTCCCTTTCGCACACCACAACTCGAAGCACCACTTGCTCGAGTGATACCTATAGAAACATACTTTTAATATATGGGCCTTCTGTTTTATCGTTATTGGCTAGAAAAACGCCACCGGTAGTTCAAGAGAGTTTGCCTTGGCATCGGTAGTTCTCTTAACTAAATGAAAGCAAACTTTTGCTGAGGTTCGATGACCACTCAGAGAGGGAGAGAATGATGAACACATCGCTATCGATTACAGTTTGACATCGAAGAACACATCCCAATAATAATGAAACAGAAGAATGCAAATTTAAATGTATATTTTTGTATAAGCACAAATAAATAAATATGTATACATGTATGGGCTAAATTTTTGTAGAAAAATGAGGTTCGACCATATTCATCTAAGTGAGGTACAACCACAACGATGCTGAGATATTAGTAAAACTCTAGATCTCAGGTGGGCTGTGTACCCACGAATGCTCTTACCGAAGGCTTACGCGCTATCGACCACATCAACCAAGGTCCTTGTGTTGATTGATTTCTAATAGCATTGAGAGAGTGAAAAGGTTGCTGAGAGGAACGAAAAGGAAGAGTATTCATTGGTGTGGTGGATAGCATGTGAGCTCCTGAGAAGGGTGATTGCCGGTTCGATGTCCATCTGAGGTTTCGAGTTTTGCTCATTTCTCACCATCTTTGTGATTGTATCTCATGTGGTACACTACCACAAGGCGTATTCGTCTATGCTCGTCATTCCTGAGGTCAACAAGTTGTTTGCTTGAATTGCTAAAAAAGTAACAGGGTGCAATGAGTACAAATATGATAGCTGAATTGTATGGGTAGGGAAGGGTAGGAAATAAGATTGTGTTCGATTAACTACGCTGTAGAAAGCCGACAACTAACGCTACTTTCTAAAAGAAAGTAATTTTCAGTGTCGCTTGCTAAGACATCATTTCATACAAACATGATTCTTCTATTCTTCACCTTTTTTTACATGGGAGTTCTTGTCTCATTCGTTCTCGGCATTTACCCAACCACCATCTCATTTACCGCTTCCTTTGCTCGTGACGCCAACGTAGTCGCCCTTTACAGTACCTCAGCCGGATTGGCTGAGTTCTCTGGTGAGTGATATGAATCTTGATAATGATATCGTTCATTTTTATATGGATCTTCAATATTTTCAGTTTGAGAAAGTTCTTCTTTCATTTTCAACACTTCTTCGTGCCGCAAGTCCAATACTATAATACTTTCCAATTATACTGTAGAAGTTTATAGATTTAAAAAAGAAATCGAGGTGTGTAGATCGAAAGCACCACCCACGGAATAGGTCTTTACTGGACGGTCGATCGGTTATAGCCTACGCTCAACAGCAGTTATTTGATTATAAACACCTCTTATAAAATCTTATGCGCCACTAATATGGTATGTGATATGACTGTGTAAACATTACTGCAATATCACCGTTACAGTGTAACGAATCGTTTATTGAATTCTCACCGCAGAACATCGTGGTCCAAAGGGCAGATGATTCAGCAATATGAAGCAGAGGGCAACACATAAAAATGGGAGAGGTCTACAGATGTCTGTTAGGTAAAATGAGACACTGAAGCCAATAGCGAACCATCGATGTACTAGAAAAGCAGATCATTTCCGGCTATACAATGGCATCTTATTTTACACGTCAAGAGCCTGAGCTGCTCGACGAGAAATACAGTAAGGAATCAAATATCACGAATAACGAAGCGGTGAGAATTCAATAAACGATTCGTTACACTGTAACGGTGATATTGCTTGACTTGAGAGATTGAAGGAGGTGTATGAGCTAACTGTGGTCTCCGCATTTTTTGACAATGGAGAATTTTTTGTTATTGTCACAGCTTTAAACTAGCTTCTTAATTTCTGAAAAGTTCCAATGAAAAAAGTGGAACAACATAATGACGTATTGTCTTTCTAAACTCGGTCGTTTTTTCATTCTAAGCCCTGCCGTATGCTTTATGCAACCTTGAAGATGAATAAGGCGTAGCTTTCAACAGTGACAGTACTTGTTAGTGAATGAGTTCACGAAGCCGTATTTAGGTGTGTTTAATGCGCAGCGGTCCTTCCTTTGCTATTTTAATCTGAATATATAGTGGATCTTGACTTCATAACTCATCGTTTAGGCATTCTTGAAGACGATCTAATACGATAAGAAAGCGTTATTATTGACTGGGACTCTAATTGTCTTCCAGTTCCAGAATATCCATCCGTGTAGCTACACTCTGGCTTAAAGAACAGTTTATTCTATAAACAAAAAAACCTTAACGTATATAACATGAAAAACCGATAGTTGTTATATTCGCGTTGTCTACTTCAGGTGGAGTCTTTGTGCGTCCGCTCATTAAGCGCTGTCATAGCTGTAAACTGATTGCTACAATCGCATTGCACTTCTTCGTTGTCGTCACTGCATTGGCACTCATCCAGTTGTCAGTACCAGAACGAGCTACCATTGAGCCAACTGACGGAAACGCTATATGGTTTACTCCGAGGTACGTCACTGAGTCTCTAGTAGAAGTGAGTCTTTGTTCTTTAACGCATCCGACTAATGAGTTTTTAATCAGTTAGAAAATTAGTTTAGCACTCCGATTTTTAAACGATGACATGGTCAAAATAAAGACACTGGACATTGATGGAAGTATATTATTTACTAAATGTTCTCTACATCACATAACAGAAAACATATAATGAGGTTCACACAAGAATGGGTTCTAGCAAGAACAGTAAAGATGACAATGAAGTTGACTGTAGGAAGGATTACCGTATCAGGAGTATCAAGAAAAAGAGATAAACACTCTCTGAGTTGCAGTTGAATACTCTTTACTCATTTGAGTTAAAGCCCCATCACACGAGCCCCAAACTTGAGTCATTCATCCTTTATGTGTGCTCAGAAGTCATTAATCAAAGGCTTCTCAAACATACGTTAGCAATAGCAAACTATGAGTGCATAATATTGTGTGGAAAAGCGCTAGGAGATATAGCAGTAATATTTGAAGCACTAGTAGTCCATACATATCGTACAAAATAGGCAGATCCTACTAAAGTCCGAAATTCGGAATGACATGTCCAGTAGTAATATAGTGGGCAGTGTTAATGAAAAGGAAGCACAACAGGAATATGCAACCGGATAGATGTGCAAAATACCATGGCGTGTCTTGGGGGAATGTAGTTTCCATGGGTAAAATATTCCACAACGATTTACCACAAAGGCAAAGAATTCGCAAATATAGTTGTCTGAAGAAGTACAGAATATGGTTTATGAAATAAAGACTAGTCTCTATACGTAATAACCTTTTTAGAGTTTGGTTTCATCGTGGTACACTTTTTTTAAACAAAAAGTTGAGGTGCAAGGTGCAGTTGGAGTTTGTTCCTCTGCACAATCACATGCAGCGAATTCATTGTCTTCGATAAATCGAATGCTTAATGAGTAGTAGACCCTTGAGACTTTCTATGAGGTGCAATTTCTCCTACCGTATAGGAAATCTCAAGGCAGCAAGACACTTTATGAGGCATGTATGTAAGTCTCTCTATCTGGAATGTAGACGAGGACGAACTATCGCATTTTTCGCATTCTTACGATGATTCAATTATGAACATTTCAATGAAAGCAGAAGAACGACCAAACAAATAATAGGGCCAGAACTACACTTGAGTAGAAACCATTAGATTATTTGAGCAAAATTACACTGTTCCCCATTGATTTAAAAGTAAGAAACACGTGATAGCACACCAACTAGCATATTTGAGAGAAGATTCCTGTTGCGTAAGTCTCAACGAAGAGTCATGTCATCGCCAAAGAATTATCACTCAAGTGCTAAATATCGCAACGTTTTTCAAGAAGATTCCATTGCAATATCACCGAGACACTGAGGAAGATCCAAAGAAATGCATGACCATTTTAAACAAAACCATAGTATTCATGCCGCGAAGACCCTGATCTTGGCAAAGCGCCACTTTTTCAACACCACAGGGAACATATTGTCAGTGGTGAGAAATATAAATCTACACTGGTGTGATGAAATGTAAATTTTGCAGGCATCTGGAAACTACTGTCAAAAATGCGGAATTGCATTATTGAAGTCCTCTATGAGGTTTGCTCAGCGAATAGACAGGGTAATTTCTACAAATAGACGAAATGGAATGACCCACTGATGTCTGTCACTATCGTAATGACAGTGTCGGCTATTTCTGCTAGAGAATCAAGAAGAACGTTAACAAAAAAAAGCTTCGACCAGTTTTAACCACAGTAGGCATGTAACCTTACAATTCTTGTGGGGAACACTGGTAAAAAAGCTGAGAAAAATGCAGAGGAAAGGCCTCTGTGGCGCAGTGTGTAATTCGCGAGTCCTCGGAAAGGGAAATCGTGGTTCGAGCTAGCCCGGGGTCCAAGTTTTGCGAATATCTCAGCATCGTTGTGGTTGATTTTTAATAATGCCTTGCCGTGAAAAATGTAATAGGGAATAACTAAGGAAGAGAACTGGTAACAAAGTTCTTCATAACTGGATATTTGGAACAAAAAGCTTACGGAACAATGAAACGATCCCTCTTGCACATTATCTGGTTTGTCTGCAAAACCCCTATTATTCTAATGAGGGAAGAATTATTGCACGACAAGTACAGCGCTTCAAAGTGTTCTGTGTTTCGAAGAAAATTTCCGAAAACATCAGTATACGCTATATCTTCACACAGCCGTAGCTACAATCGAATGTAACCGCTTCTATGATTAGCTCTCACAACAGAACATACAATTGGAACGAACTGCTGACCTCAATGTCACACATCAAAAACATCGTGTTTGTAGGAATTCGGCTATAGTTAATTAACAGAGATAGATCCGTTTTTTCTTTCCTTGCCTTTTTGAACTTATAGATCAATTCTAGTCGTACGATAACCTGTGTCTTCGGTTATTTGGTGGGTTTGGCGGACTTCACACTGACCATGACAAGGGTCGTTATCTGCCAGAAAGCTGTGCCACAGTTTCGAATGGAAGTCTTCTCTCTAACTAGAATATACCAGGTGAATATAATTCATACCATAAATAGATGATTTTCGGAACTAGCCAAAGAAAAGGAAAAAAGCAACTAGGATTTTATTAAAACTAGTAGTTTGCTGGAAAGTTTTGCCACACTGCGTCAACATGTGCTATATTAATTTGTCTAAGAACTTTAATACTCAAAATAACGGTTTCTACCAGAGGTGATCGTCAATGCTATCGCCGTCGTTGACATCGCGGAAAATATAGTGATTAAAAGGCGTGATGTTTGTGAACTACATTAGCTGCAGATGGGATTTCTGTTCAAGAGTAGTTAATATGTTGTGTTCCCTAATGCACGTCGAGCGCTATCACTTACGGTGCATGTTTGCATACATGTCGTACCATGTATGGCATGAGCCAGCTTCTGAAATTCATTCAGTCCTTCAACAACACTCACAGATGTTTCCATTTTTGATCCACAGAACTCGACTTATGTAGCAGTTTGCAACTCCTTCAAAAACGATTTTTTAAAGGGAGAGGAAAAGAGAACTCCAAATGCGAGTCGCGCTACTTTACCACTGAACAGTGTTATATTAAATTCTAAAGAGCTGTACGATAACCACACTTAGTCGTCAATTATTTTTAAATCAATGTTGAAGACGAACTGGAGGAATTATGTGACTAGTTCATCCTTTTCCAAGAGGAAAACGATGAGATGTATATGATAGCAACATCAGCAAAAAGCACTTCAGAAGACAGCCCGAAAAGGAACCATAATCTGGAACCGATGATGGAAAAGTTCCATTCTGTTTTTCCATTCCACAATCCCCGATTCGGACTCTGAAATCTTCCGAAAAAAACCTCTTCCAATTCTTCTTGATGAAATGTGCAATCCAGAGAACATTATAGCCGACTTCCTTCGTGTTGAAGAAGAAAACTTTTGTATGTTTTTTGCAATCGGAATTACTAAGCGCAGTCATCGCGCAAATGAATGAATGGATCTTTTCAGCCCTTATTTACTTGTTGAATGCACTCTAGAAGCTCACTACTATCTCTTCTTTCAAATCCAACAAGGAATTGGATGAAGCTTAACCAGCTGGGCGGAATTTACCACGTACAACTCATCCAAATTTTTGTTTTGCGACCATTGACGCGATGGCCAGAGAGGTCTTCGTGGAAACCTAGAAGGAAGATATGATGCTCAACGAGTCCCTAGAGCAAGCAGAATCCACTGAGTTGCTCTTGCTCGCGACAGAGAGAAATGAAATATTTACTGGTGCCCACCTGAGTCACTCGACCATCAAAAGGACGACAGGTTATGTAGGTGATCGATGCATTTTACTTCCTACCGCCACTTGCCGAGCAGGAGTTGACATTTCATACATGAGGACTAATAGCCAACTTCACCACGGTAATCTTGGTGCACCATGCCAATACATCAGATTAGAGAAGCGCGTCCAACCAGTGTGCAACAATTTGCCAGATACGTTTGTTTAACAAACCTTAGTTTTGGTAGCAATGTCTTCATCTTAATGAGAAGAACAAATGAAGCAGAGAGAATGATCAGTGAGGCCAACGAAACGGAGAAAAAGATATGAATAGAGATAATTGAGAATAATACCTAGTTCATGGGAAATACACACTGATTTGGAAAGGATATCGATATAAATGGTTCTTTGGCTAGGATGATCACGTGCACTGTGTACTCAAGCGTCCAGTTAGCATAGAAAATTAACGATGAATTGTGCAGAAGAAAGTGATCAGCATGGAATTTTCAGAGAGACCATTGACCAACTAAGACACAGACAACTACACAAAGCATTCATAGAAAATTTTCCACACCAGTTAATTAGTACACGAGAAATACATCTACTTACAGCAGCCTAATAAGCTGTTGCTTAGTTTCATGCTTAAAAAATCTTTATTTCTTTTTTTCAGGAGTACATTTGTTGAAACATAGTTAGGAAAAAATTTGGCAATACCTTCCTTGGGTAGACAAACACTAAATGTTGTTCGAGGATCTACTGTGTGTAAGGAAACATATGCTCGGTATTATGAAAAGTCATTAATGTCCGCATAGTGTGGTGCTCAGAGGTGAGCTGCAATACACAGTGGTTCGATCGCGCTACCCTGGCTCGCCAACCCTTCGATCCCACAATTGTCGGAAAATTGGCGCCAAACTTGTCTGGGAGGATAACAGCACTGACTCGACAGATCAGTAAGTAATCGAGAGTCATAGTAAAGCCAGATATACATTTGTCCACCTTTACGATGCTTGAAGAAGCCGAATGGAGTGCCCCTCAGGAAACGGTCAAAGCTGAATGCCTTATCTTTTATTGGAACTCTTCGCCGTTCACATGGCCAATTTTGGAAGGAATGCTACGGGTGTCAGATTAGCGTGCCATATCAAACGGATTCCAGATGTTGTATATGCTCATATAAATATTAAAAAATACAGGTCACGAGTAAATTTCCACGTTTCAGTGTATAGCTTCGTGCATTGTTCTTTTTCTGTCACCGTACATGACAGTAACCGCGTGGACGATCGTCCTGTCGACTAGCCTTCTAATTGGCACCACATGTCTTGTCGTGGTGGTGAGGAGAACGAATAACTCTGACGATGTTGTATCTCCTATAGAGCACATAGCTACGATGGAAAAGAGTAGCGGGACAGATAGCATCTAGGTCATCTGGTGTATCATTGCAATTTAAGTCGTACAAGTGGGACGAGAGTTGATGAATGGAATGGTTTTTTGTACAATTCGAAAGTTTATGGGCTTGATTTAGCATGCAAAGCATAGTATTAACAGTTTAATGTTAATACTGTTAGTTTGCATGATATTTTACATGTACAGATAACATCCCAATCTTATTTCACTTACGCGAAGTTCTTAAGAAAACATTTCTCTTCAAAATAACCGTTGAATGAAATTCAATAGCATTTGAATGTCTGCCTGAATCATGGATAGAACGTTGTTAATTCTTAAAAGAGCAGCGACCTAAATGTTCCATTTCAACCTCTTGATCACCATTGTTGTTTACATGACGGTAAGGAACGGTAATTTCACTGTTTCAAGAACGGTAGATGCAAAATGACCTCGACCATTACTTTGTTAATTGTGATTGAACCGATCCTGTTCTTCACATGAAGTATCTTACTTGTTTTTCTTTTGAACTATCCGTTATTTCATTGTGTATTATTGATTTATTCATTTAAGTGATGCAACTTATGCAACTTACTTAAGCGATTTGAATTTCCCATGTTCTCTTTTGAGTAAAAGTTCTGGGCGTGTCTCCTCTCCGGAACTTGTTCATGTCTTTGTCCTGATATTTTTGTATCGTTGCTGACTGATCTGAATTTATGAATAAATAAAGTATGAGTAAAAAATGTGTCGCTCTATGAAACTGTGACGAAATTTTTAGTAACACAGGTATTTAAGAGATCGAATAGATCGAACCACTCATAAATGTCTGCAAAAATCGCTTCGAAGTTGGCATAAGGAGCGCTACTCCGTTAACTTCACTGGTATACGCCATTTGCTTGAAACTGAAATGCTTAAAAACTTATTTTGGCTTCTACATCGTTCACCCCATCTTGACAACTGTTACGTGAATGAGGAACTACGAATCCAGAGCGAGTCGTAGACGATGCGTTTCGTGAAAGAACTTGGCGGTAAGTCAACCAACAGGTATTCTCGCTGCCAACAAATGCCATGAACAGTTGTTGAGGGGCAGATGAGAGATGAGAGCTTAAGACGAACATGTCGACTGACGGGGATGATATGTAGGAAAATACAGTAAGATAGTATGTCTGCACGGAATTACCGCTGTAGGATAAAAGGCTCGCAGTTCTCGATAGGTATCTACGGAGTCCAAGGATTTTTATTCCAATCGATGTTTTATTATGTCGCCAGATATGTTTGTTTTGTAGCTGATGTGGGTGGTTAATTTTGGACGAGCATGAAATTAAGCTGATGAATGCAGTTGTCAATATGTTAAAAATAGTTGCAACTGACGTAGAAAGAATTTGAATAAACACAACCGAAACTTAATCACGAGAGATTTGATTGATTTTAAGAAAAGTGATGGCCAATTTTGATATCTACATTTTTGCTCTGAACCATTTTAAAGGTCAATTGTAGTCAAATAACTCTGCATATTCTTGTTGAGCAGACGCGATTTCTTATTACGGCAAAGCAACGTCAAAAGAGGGGTTGGGCAAGGCGATACCATCTCGTCAAAATTACTCAGCGCCACACTCAAGAACGTCATGCGGACACTGAAGTGGGATAACATGGGAGTGAAAATCGATGGTCGACAATTACACCATCTTCGCTTTGCTGATGACATCGTTTTTATAACACTAAATATTAGCTAAGCGGAACGAATGCTTGCCGACTTTGATAAAGTCTGTGGAAAGATTGGTCTTCGACTACACCTCACAAAAACGATGTTACGCTCATCGGAACGAATACCTCCGAATGCTCCAGTTATGTCTATCTAGGTCGGGAAATCAACATGCTGAACGACGTAGCATCAGAGCTGAGCAGAAAGAGACGAACGGCTTGGGGAGCTTTCAAGAGCATCGAGTTAAGAGGAAAAAGAACATCCGACTCCGTGGCCACCTTTTCGACTCAGCGGCACTTACTGCGTTGTGCTCATGCGTCAGAAACCTGGTCGCTGCGTAGGCAGGATGAAGAATTACTCAGCGTTATCGAACGCGCAGACGAAAGGACGATGCCAGGAGTATCCTGTTTCACACTAGTAAGGGAAGGGATCCGAAGCCCCGACCTGCTTCAACGATCAAAAATCAAAGATACCTTTTTGTACGCCAAGCAGTCGGAGATAAGGTGGGACGGACGTATTGCGTATGAACGACAGCCGATGAACAAGAGCCGTTAGTGACTGGATTCCCTGGGATGTTAAACGCACTGTAGGAAGCCCACCGCTTCAATGATCAGAGTTCTTCACGAAAACCCTAGAAGAACGATATGATGTTCAACGAATCCCTAGAGCGAGCAGAACACACTGGACCACTCTTGCACACGACAGGGAAAAGTGGAAGATTTACTATGGAGCCCGCGCGAGTCACTCGATGACCAATGGGACTACAGGTGATACGGTAGGGCTAACGTTTTGGTGGATTTCCCCTTCTTCAGAGCCTAGAATGGTCAAGTTGACTGCAATCTGCCTAACCAAAAATTAAAGGATGCGCCATGCATTCGACTGCAATAAGTATCGTTGGATGTGACTGAATGCACAACTGGCTTTACGGTGACTCGCGGCGGCCTACCGATGTGTTGAGCCAGTGCTGCTATCCTCCCAGACAAGTTTGGTACCAATTTGCCAACCCCGGAGGAATGGAAAGCTTGTTGGGCTCCAGGATCGATTCCACGTGCGTGCTGCAGTGGCGCTTCCAACCACTGCTCCACACGCGCCCTGCTGCTTCCGTAACCACGAATAATACTGATGCTTGTATGTTTTTCCATCCTTTGTAACCTAAAGGTGCATGTTAACAGTATGTATAGCACTATAGGAACGTAGCAATCTAGCAATAACTTCGTTCAATGAAGAATGAATGAGTTCGAGGTCATTCTTGTTTTATATTCCACTCCGTCTCCATATCCTTCGAACCACGCGCTCACGTGTAGTGTCGTAATTTCTGGATTATCCGTTAGAGGTCCAGTTTTGGGCAAAGGTCAAGACAACGTTACGGGGTAATCAAATAGTGGTGTTACCATATGACAGTTTATTGCAACAACATCTAACAAATTCTTCCTTAGTAAGTTTTTGAGTTTCAAATGCTTTCGTTTTTTTCCATAAATGCTGCTAAGCGAGTGAACCTTTGTTAAAGCCTCTTTCTTCGTTCTTTCTTATCCTCTCAAAAAGTGTTGTCTAACGAACAGCCATGGCCACTATGCCATCTGTTCTCTATTTAATGTAAGGGCTTGTGATAACTTTTTGTTCGTGAAATAAAATAAAATAAGATCTCTCGGCGTTGATCAATTTCTTACGGATCCACTATGCATTCGACTCCATTATGTATCGTTGGAGGTGATTAAATGCATATCTCTGGCCTTTACAATGACTCGCACTGGCCTACCGATTTATCGAGCCAGCGCTGCTATCCTCCCAGACCAGTCTGGTACCAATTTACCGACCCTGGAGGGATGGAAGGCTTGATGGGCCATGAGTGCGGGGATCGATTCCACCTGTGTGTCGCAGTAGCACCTTCAACCACTGCTCCACACTCGTGTTCGTGAAATAGATGAATAAATTAATGTGAGACTTTAATGAATATCGCTGATAGTACCTTTAATGTGCGATATCTCAGCTCAATGTAAAGTTTAAAATCTGAAATAATAACGATTAAAATCCACATATTTTTGCCAACGTGAGTTAGTTGCATAAATTTCAGTAGCTCTAAGTAGATGATATCGTAAAAGTCAGTTTCGGTCTCAGCTTAGTTTCTGAAGCGTCCTTGTACAGGAAGTTGTACAGATACTTGAAGTGGCGGCTGGCGAGTGAGCGATTTAGCGAGTATGGTGGAAGTGGCAGCGTTTCGTAGCCCATGTTCGTCAACTTCTGCTGCGTCGGCAATGTGACGCCCGGCCTCGTGTTCACGTAGAGGATTGCTCCCTTCTATTAGCCAGAGAGGGTGCATATGTTGAATTTTCTGTCGCATTTCGTCGACTTTTTGGACGTACTCCGCTTATTTGTTTTACTCGGACGTAGGAAACTGTGATGGATAAAACTCGCTGTGGACCACCAAACGGTCAACATATTGTTCTACTGGTGCAATTTCTGCTTTGAGAAGTGTTGCAGAATGTCAATGCCATCCAAGCACTGAGCAAATCACCGCCAGTTATTATGAAGGGACCATTTCTCGTTGCACATCACAATACGGTCGAAAAATAGATCGTTATTACTGTGCAGAAGTCTTGGCGATACCATGAAAGCGGCTTCATTTCCTGACGTTTAACTCGCTGCACTCCTTTGTCGAGCTTCTTCCACTTTCCGATTATCTTTAGATGCTGTGAAACATTTAGGATTTGTGTGTTTTTGTGAAAGTTCAGCCGGACGTCCGTAACCTGGCTCATCTTCAGGGACGAATTCATCACAAGTATTTTAAGACATCAACAAAACTTGGAAGCTCAGGCGGATTTGATGATTAGAAGTACTGTCTAGGAAAAACCCATTCCACAGTTCCAGTAGAGAATATAGAATTTTGTTGGTTGCAAGAATGATACTTATATTAATCAATTGCCATCAGCTGTTTGTTGAACCGTTACTGAGAAACTTACAAACCACTCTAAAAGATATGTAGCCGAGATGTAAAAACTGAATTCGTATGCGACCTGGCTCCAATGCGAACAGCAGCAATTCGGCCAGAGAAATGACTACAGAAAGCTTTATAAACCATTTACATTACCCAACAAATAAAACTGTAGTAATAACACCTGCATACGGACTATATGAAATATTACAATTGAAAAAATATAGCGTCTAAGCCTTATTAAAAGAACCACCACTAATTTGAAGCTTTACTCTATCCACTGATTTAAGAAATCGGAAATTGTGTCAGTGTCCCACTTTTCGATGTTGAGAGTTTGCTTCGTAACGCCATTTGCATCCTGAAAATTTTAATGCTGGCGTTCTTAAACCATTTGCACGGTTGTAGTGTTTAGATTATATGAGGTTAGGGTAGAATATCCTGTATAACCCTTCAAAATGGAATTGTAGAGCAGGAAACCTAGCCAGTATACAAAGAAAAAAGAATTAATGAGCAAAAGGGTTTGGAAATAATGTCGCCTTGTAAAACGGTCCTGAACTATCAGAATAGAACCTTCAAATCATTTGAAAGCCTTAAGAAGTAACAAATTTACAGATTATCAAACAGACGTAAGCATGCTTGAAAGGGTGCTCACTATGCAAATGATATGTAGGTTGATTTTAGTTTAAGATTAAGAGAACAACTTACTAAGTATTCTGCTCATCGACGTGACACTTCAAACCTCTTAAGAAAGGGAGAACCGCCGAAAATTCAACCATGGTGAAGTGGTTGCCAAATTTAAAACTCTCGTAAGCAGCTAACACGTAAGGACCTCGCAAGGCAACCATAACTACTACCACCATAAGGCTATTGAAGATAAGCAGTGAAAAGAACAAATAGTACCAAGTATATAATCTTCTTCTTCTTCTTCAACGAAGAATACTCATTTGCAGTTCTGGCGCAACACATGATTTTAAGAGCCTATACGACTACGAAACGACGCGTACTTTTTCGTTTTTTTTTGGAGGGGGTGGGGATATAGCAAATTCATTTTGCGCGTCATAGAGGTAACAGAATACGCACAGTGGATGTGATGACGAATATTGCAAAAAAAAATTACCTTTATAGTTAAGTATTCCATCAACCTTTCAACTTTCAACGCGAATAGGAAACTCTAATGACACTTTCCACTACGTCGCAATCAAACAAAAAGAAATGCGAAGATAAAGTGTTGGAACACAATTTCCATTTGACTTTTTGAAGTAACCTTGATTCTCTCGATAGTGCCGCACTCATGATAACATGTTTAACAAAAATACCTTTAAGATGATCTGTGGGCGAACTCCTCTAACGTGACGAACACGTACTTTACCACCCCACTGAGAAGCCATATCTTCCCTTACAAAAGCTAAAACGAATATCGTTAGCAGTCACAAAGTTCATTAACTCTATATCAAGATTTTGAGAGAAGCTGAATACAACAGTCTCACAATCTTTCAAGATCTAGTGTTGGGTACAAAAATAAGGAAAGTAGAAAAAGCCGTAACAATGAAAGTAAACCACACCTTCAACTTGCGGAAAGCGCCCAAGGTTACATTCACAGACCTCGATCTGAGCCATGGGATATTTCTGAAACGCAAAATCCTCATCACCTGTCCTGCTAAAAACTACACAAAAAGTTGAATTTAGATCAAAGACGACCAGTGGTAACAAGGATAAGTAGAAAGAAGGAAATAAATGATTTGCAAGAAAAAACGCTCTCTCAAACTTTCCTGGAAGATGCAGTATCACCGAAGGGCCCCTCCACCTTCCTTTTTCATCATACACTTCATTTCATTCTTAACGTTCACAGTTCCTAATGTTCTTTGTTCAAGCATCTTTTTTCCCTTTAGGACTGTCCACATCCTCAAACTAATGTGCATTTTGCAGAAAACAGACTCTGACCCATCGACTGCAAGAAGCCTTAAAACTACAAAACTGGTAACAGGTAAAGGAAATATTAAGGCAAAACCTTTTCCAAACTCATGAGGAATAGGATTAGCGAAGGACATGTGTCAGTTAAACATTCTGAAGAATTTCAAGGATTTCCTGAAAATCTCCAGGATACGCAGAGTCCGATGTTTAATAGTGTGATAAGACACTTGCAGCTAGAGCTGCATCTCGACAACCATCAGACCATCATCTGTTCCGATTACGAAACTATTCCAAAAAAGAAAAAGTGTAAGGACTTCCAGTGGAAATCTCCTCTGATTTTCATCGATAAATATGTCAAAATTGCACCACAAAAATGGATAAAAGGATAAAAGGATGAAATAAAAGAAGGGAAACTGGAGCATAACCATAGTAGTATGAGTACTCCAAAAAGATATCCTGCGATAGAAGCTGGAAAACCTAAACACTACGAAAAAAAATAAATTGACACTAACCTCGTGTTCCAATTCCTTCTCCTTTGAACAACATGACATACAGTCGCTCATCAACATCTCCAGGTTATAAGTACCAAGTTTTTCACATGAAGAACACTGAAACATCCCAACATCCAAGGAAGCAAGTTTGGAAAACGAGAAAAGAAAGGTGGGAAAAACACGTGCGAATTTCTGCGAGTTTTTCCCGGTACTCGGAAGTCAAACACTTACGAAGGCAAACAACTGCTCAATTACTACCGCAAAAAAGTTAAGCAAACGCTCTAAAAAAAGTTTTAGAAAGAAAGGTTTACCTTTAGGGTTTCAGGAAGGAAGCCGAGGCTGCTGCATTCTTCCAGTGGAATCTTGTATTCTTCGATCTCTGCATAGCCCACAATACAGAAAACAAAATTCAACAAAACCCGCATGTGGTAGAGTGGGTGACTTGTGGTGGGACTGATGAAGTTAATAAATAGCTGACTTATTAGTCTAAGACAAATCAGAAGGCATTAAGTTACCAAGCTTGCTTTAAGACTTCAGTTTGAACTCACAGTCGACGTAGACTTTTCGATGCTGCTTGTGGATTGGAGCGTTGTCACTTTAATGGAGCACAGTTTCTTAAGACAAACACGGAGAAATAACAAAACTACTTTCTATCGTTCCGTCTAATTCTCGCCTCTGGTTAGATTTCAAGGATTTTTACGAAAAATTTACTATATCTGTCAAATTTATGCGATAGGTACAATACTGCGGCGGTGAGTATGATGCTGTAACAGAATAGAGTGGTATATAGGCAGGATTCGATAGGTTATCTATGCGAAACCACAAAAGTCGGGGAAATCACGATCTCAGATGACTGAGAAAGGAAATATTATTGCAGTTTCCATTAATAAGTTCAGTTCCTCGGTCGGTAGAAGCACAACGGAGGGCATTCATCACGATTCCTCGAGTGATGGTGATCAGAGAGTTTTGTGGAATCAGTCAGCGGAGAAGCATCATTTCGCTCGCACTCATAAGGACCTTCGGAATTCAGCCTCGTTGAGCCGTATCAGCTCCTGGGCAAAGGGAAGTGAAGCGTACGCGCATTCAATAGGCTTCTATAAGGGTTACGAGCAAAATAAATTGTTCAGGTGGAATACTTCGGATCAGATTTTAAGTGTATTTAGATCACCTTTTCTACAAGATTGTTCGCAATGTTAACTTTTTAGTTGTTGCCTAAAACAATTTTTTCACGGCAAGGTATTATGTGTTATACAAGCACGATGTGGCTGAGATACTTGCAAACTTCGGACTGAAGGTGTCTGCGTGGGGGATCGAACACAGTATTACCCTTTCAGTGGGCTAACGCGTTCACCACCGCACCACGCTGGTCTTTCGATTTGTCTTTCTGTCATCTAGTTTCCTATCTACCAGCGCCATTAGTAATCAGCCGCTGTGTGTGTTTCCAATATTCATGCACAATCTCCTGTTACAAATTCAGCCAATAATTTGGGAATAATAGATATGTATACGAGAAATTTTAACTACCTTTAACTAAGTTACCTTTAATGGTTATATTTAAGGTTTAATTTTTAACTATAGGGGGACGATTAGCAGTTGGTAGAAGACGGAGCACGAATTATTAATTGCACCATCTTTTCGTTCTTTCATAAAATCTTAGAGGAAGTGGAAATCAACCAAAGGATAAAACTCTATGATAATAAAAGTAGGTATATTTACAGGAATCGTATATAGAAGTCAAAATAACAGTCGCGCTACAAAATGACTGTAGACCTTGTGTTTAAACAACCCATATTATTTTAATTAATCAGCTGCTATTCCATCTACAACGACACCTCTTCACAAGATCGATGAAAACTAGAAATATGCAAAAGTTTTCGGGAATGTGTAGCCTTTCCACTATCTGTTGTCACCGATGAGAATCAGAGGAATTCTAAGGAACATCATAACTACGCGTGAATATATTCAGTTCCCACGTCAACACCATTTCGGCGGTGAAAAATCGAATAGCACCAGGTCTGGACAGGGTAAGATCTGAACACCTGAAGAGCCTTTCCCGCCAGTCCTCATAAACACAGTGGCCCGGGTCCTCACACTTTGCTTATCAGTAGTGCTAGGCACCTATTCAATGGAAGACCAGCAAGACTGTGCTATTATTCAGGAAAGATGAGTTCTGCAATATCGGTGATATAGTCCATTCTGCTTGCTGTCTGTCGTCTATAACTTCTTCATTCGACTCATCCTGAACGGAATTGGCAGAACACTGGAAGAAGGACAGCAATGTGAGCAGGCAGGGTTTCGCAAAGGATTCAGCACGATGGACCATATACACACTATAACAAGACTCATTGAAGTATCTCAAGAGTACAAATGACCCTCTGTCCCAATTTTATCGATTTAAGGAAAACTTTAAAGCCAGATGAGATAGACAGTTATGGAAACCTAGGATCGCCATCGCGCCCATACTCAGTATATAGAGATTCTTTGTGAGCCATACAAATGTTTCACAACCAAAACGTCATCATTTTATAATGATATTCACATCGACGTAGAAACAGTACTGCCACCCTCGTGAACGTCATGTGAACGCTGAAATAGGATAAAATGGGAGTGAAAATCAACGATCGACCCTTACACCACCTTCACTTTGCTGATAACACCGTTCTTACAACACCAAGCATTCGTCAAGACGGAGAAATGTTTGCTGACCTTGATAATGCCTGTGGAAAGATTGGCCTACAGCTATATCTCACAAAGGCGATGTTTATGAGGAACGGTTAATTTCGTATGCCCCTTTTACGCTCAACGGAATTATTATCTCCTGATGCACTAGCTACGTCTATCTAGGTTGGGAAATCAAGATAATGAATGACCAAGTTTCAGAATTGAGCAGAAGGAAGCAGGAAGTTTGGCGAGGAGCATCGAGGATGTAGTGGAGAGAACAAAAAAAAGGCCGCAGTCGTGCCCACGTTTTGGACTTAAAGATTCATCCTTCCTGCCTTAAATTCTCCTGTCACCTGTGTCACCTGCCCTCCCGTGATCGTCGAGTGACTCGAGCGGATGCCGGCCAACCTTCCACTTTTCTCTGTCGTGTGGAAGAACAGCCCGGTGGATTCTTTTCGCTCTACGGATTCCTTGACCATCATATCTTTAATAACTCAGCTTACTTTCTGGAAATCAATGGCAGCATAAACGGAATCTTATTCTCGCTAGACATGTCACTTTGGAGTCTGATTCTCCAAAACTGCGCTAAGCATCTACCGTTTCGTGGGCGTTCGAATAGCTATTTGCCACTCCCATTTTAAGGATCTTCAATTCTACTCTCTTCCTGTGCCCACACTGGTGGCTGTCAGAAACATGTTTCTCACAAACGTTTCTTTCGTATGTAAAGGGCGAGAGGAGAGGTAACAAATAAGCATGTCTTTTTTACTTCGCTTCCATTTAAGATCGCGTACTTCTATTTACGATAGACCATTTCCAGTACTTCAAACTTAAATTTCGTCGTTTTTGAGATCACATGATGTTGAGCCAAGTGAGAGGGAATGAATCTATGAAACACAAGACTTCTCGGCAAGCGACGTTATTCACCAACATTGTATAAAGGCTGAGCGAAGGTAAGTGTGTCGAAGTATGGCAATTTTCAATGAACATCTCCGTCCCCTAATTCTAGATCCTTTCAACCACGGGTGATCAGTTGACTTCTTTAGGGTAGCGATTGATGAAATACTGGCTTTTTGCTAGGCTTCCTATGAATAAAAAGTCGTTATAAGGTGGAGTCTATATTAGCTACTCAAGGATTCTATAATGTAACTTCTCGAAACATCTTCGAGACTTCTGATACTGTTTATTGCCGTGATTCTTTCCTTTAACTTTGGCTTGTGACATGTGTAGCGCAATTCTCGGAGGCGCCCTGCAACACACGCATGGAATCGATCATCGCGCCTATGAGCCACCAAATCTTCCATCCTTCCGGGGTCAGCAAATTTTTACCAGACTTGTCTGGTAGGAGAGCAACATTGGGTCGTTACAATTGGTAGACTAACGTGAGTCACTGTAAGAGCCAGATTGGCATCCAATCACCTCAGAACGATGCTTAATGCAGTCGAATCATGGCGCATTCCTCAGCGATTGGTCAACACCAAGAGCTCTGTCCTTTTGTCCTTTCTTCTACCAATTCAAGAACCAATAAAAAATTGGGAAGAAGTTTGATTGTCGTTTGGTAAGAGTCTCCACATTTTGCGAAACTAATTGCAAGCACCTGAAACACGTCCTGTGCTATCACTGTTTACTAATTCCTTTGTAGTTTCTTCTTTCATGATTTTTTTGGCCCTATTTCCGAAAGGAACTCGTTTAATTTCTTTGTTAATTATATTATATTTTAAATTATATTTTCAACTTCAACCTTCTACAGCATCTATACCTGAATATGTTCATAGGCATCGTTAGAGGTGATTGAATGCATATGTGCCCTATGCGATAACTCGGGGTGGCCTACCGATGTATCGAGCCAGTGCTGCTATCCTCCCAGACAAGTCTGATACCGATTTGCCGACCCCGGAGTAATTGAAAGCTTGTCTGGCTATGAGCTCCGAAGTCGATTCTACGTGTGTGCTACAGTGGCGCTTCCAACCACTACGGCACAAGCGC